GAGAGAGCCTGCTGAAAAAAGGGGAGGGTGTGTAGCTCTCTATGTGAAGGAGAACTATATGTCCCTACAAGCTGAGATTAGCACCCAAGGAGGACGCTTGGAGACCCTTTGGGTTAGAATACGAGGGGAACGTGGCAAAGGGAATACAATGGTAGGACCTCCAAATCAGGAACAAGAGTTTGACCAGGAATTTGCCAGGGAACTGGCTGAGGCTGCATGCTCTCAGTGCATGGTTGTCATGGGAGACTTCAACTACCCGGACATCTCATGGAAAGAACATTCAGCCAAATCCTATTGGTCTCAAAGTTTCCTCACATGCATTGATGAGCTCTACCTGTCTCAAGAAGTTTATGGGCTGACAAGAGGTAAGGAGCTACTGGACCTAGTACCGGCCAGAGGGGATGATCTAATCAGCGACCTAAGAATTGAAGGGAAGCTGAGTGACAGTGACCACAAGTTGATCACTTTCACTATCCATCGCAGAGCTGGCAAGTCAGCCAGTAATGTAGTAATTCTCAACTTTAGGAAAGCTGATTTTCATAAGCTCATGAGGTTTATTCTTGAGGCCATGAGAGGGGATTATTTGACAGGCAGGGGAGTTCATAATGAGTGGTTGCTCCTTAAGGAAGTAATCCTAAAAGCACAAGGGAAGTCCTTCCCAACCCATAGGAAAGGTGGTAAAAGGGCTCAGAAACCCGCTTGGCTCAACAGGGAACTCATGGACCTCCTACATCTAAAAAGACAGGTTTATAAAGGATGGAAGACAGGAAAACAACTAAGGCAGAATATTCTGCACTGGTCTGCACCTGCAGGGAGTGAACTAGAAAAGCCCAGGCTGCAACTGAACTCCAACTGGCTACATGAATCAAGGACAATAAAACGTTCTTCTTCAGATATGTGAGGAGTCAGAAAAAAAACAAGGGCAACATTGGACCCCTGATAAACCAAATGGGGCAGCTAATAACTGACACCCAGGAAAAAGCCAATCTATTGATGATTACTTTGTGTTGGTCTTTCATCCACCCAAAGGGATCACCCTGCCTGACAAGTTGCAGGATCAGCAGGGTAAGGATGAATATATGCCCACCATTGGTGTGGATCTTGTGAGGGAGCATCTTGAGAGGCTGGACCCCCACAAATCAGCTGGTTTGGATAGATTGCACCCAAAAATGCCAAAGAAACTGGCAGAAAATAGCGCAGCCACTGGCAAGGATATTCGTGAACTTGTGGCACTCAGGTGAAGTACCTGAAGACTGGAAGAGGGCCAACGTGGTGCCTATCTTCAAGAAGGGTAGGAAAGAAGACCTGGGAAACTACAGGCCAATCAGTCTGACCTCAATCCCTGGAAAGATCTTGGAAAAAATTATCAAAGAAATCATTCTTGACAGGCTAGCAGAAGGCAACATTCTGAAGGGATAGCCAACACATGTTTGTTGTGGGTAGGTCTTGGCTGACTAATCTCATTTCCTTCTATGATCAGGTGACGTATCACCTGGACAAAAGGGCAGAGGTTGATATCATATATTTGGACTTTAAAAAAGCCTTTGTCCCGGTGTCCTATGATGTCCTCATGGAAAAATTGGGCAACTGCAGCCTCAGCTACACCACAGTCCGATGGCTGGGGAACTGGCTCTGAGGTTGGACCCAGGGGGTGGTAGTTGACAGAAATGAATCAACATGGCACTTAGTCACCAAAGCTCTGTTGGGTGTCCCCCACAGCTCTGTTCTCTGACCTGTACTCTTTAATGTCTTTATAAACAATCTGGACACTGGTGTCAGAAGTGGACTGGCTAAGTTCACTGACGATACCAAACTTTGGAGAAGAGTATCCACACTTGAGGATAAGCTGGTGATCCAGGCCAACCTCGATAGGCTCGCAAGCTGGGCGGATGAAAACCTGATGTCATTCAATACAGAGGAATGCAAGGTGTTCCACCTCAGGGAAAAAAAGACATCACACTTATAGGCTTGGCAATGCTACACTCGCTAGCATCACAGCTGAAAGAGACTTGGGGGTCATGATTGACCACAGATGAACATATGCCACCAATGCGATACTGCAGCTGGCAAAGTGAACCAAACTCTGGCTTGCTTCTACTGATGCATCTCGATCAAGACCCAGGATGTCATCCTCCTGTTGTACTTGGCCTTGGTAAGGCTACAGCTGGAGTAGTGCATCCAATTCTGGGCTCCACAATTAAAAAAGGACGTGGGGAAGCTTAAGAGAGATCAGAGGGGAGCCACACACATGATCAGAGGGCAGGAGAACAGGCCCTATAAGGAGAGGCTGAGAGCCATGGGACTCTTCAGCCTGCAGAAGCACAGGCTCAGGGGAGACTTGGTGGCAGCCTATAAGTACATAAGGGGTGTGCATCAGGATCTGGGGCCCTGGGGGAACACCTGTTCACCAGAGCACCCCAGGGGATGACAAGGTCCAACCATCACAAACTCCTGCCAGACCGTTTTAGGCTGGACATAAGGAAAAACTTCTTGACTGTCTGAATTCCCAAGGCCTGGAACAGACTCCTCCAAGAGGTTGTGAAAGTACCTACTCTGGACACCTTCAAGAAACATTTGGACGCTTATCTTGCTGGGATCCTTTGACCCTAGCTGACTTCCTGCCCTTGGGGCAGGGGGCTGGACTTGATCTTCCGAGGTCCCTTCAAGCCCTAATGTTCATTAAATCTATGAAATATTCCTCCTTATTGATTTACTCATTAAAAACTACATTTTGAGATCTGCCAGTGATCCAATTTTTAATTTAATATGCATCATATTAATGCCATATAATGCAAACTTTTAAATTGGAATTCCATGTCATTCTGAGTCAAATGTGGAAATCCTGTAAAAAATAAGATAAGTTTGGCCATGAAATACAACTTTGGATGAACTCTACTTTGATTTCCCCAAGTTGTTTGATAACACCTACCCCTCAAGAAACCATGCTGACTAGCATTACATGCATTTTAGCTTCTAACCTTGATGTTAGAGTCCAAGTGACCCATCCTGCTCTTTTATCTAGTACTGACCTACTGGTATTTCTAGCCCTCAAATACTTGAAGGGCTGCCATAAAGAAGATGGAGAATATCTTTTCTCTTTTGCTGCAGAGAATAGGACATGGACCAATAGCTTGAAGTTGCAGCCAAGTAGGTTTAGATCAGAAATCACAAAAACCTCTTCACTGTTAGAACAGAGAGGCAGTGTAACTGAGTGCCCAGGGAAGTTGTGGATTCTCCATTGCTGAAGGTGTTCCAGAAGAGGTTGGACAGCCACTAGTTGGGGATGATTTAGATGTAGCTGTCCCTGTATTCAACTATGGGTATTTCCCATTCTTCTGGGTCTGCTGATTGCTGCATGGGGCTGGGACAGAATTCCACCCCCTCTGCTATGTGTCAGTGTTTTTCTCAAGCCTCCCTCAAATGCATTGGGTGCTGGCTGCGAGGCCCCAAGGCTGGGGATTTTGATTGGTGTGTGCCAGTGCTCCTGCAGGGACTTAAACTGGAGGTTCCTGCCTAGAAGGTCTTGCTCCTCTACTCAGGGTCAGACTGATCACCTGATTTGGGACCAGGAAGGAATTTTACACCATGGTCAGATTGGCATGGACTATGGTGGTGGTGGGGTTCTCTTCCTTTGTAGTGGGGGCATGGTCCTCTACCTGGGATCCCATGAACATATATTAACAACCATTTCTAAAAGCAGAACTTTGGCAGCTGTGGTTCCCATCCTTTCCCTGAGGCAGGTTAGGGTTTTATGTCCTGTGTTATGTCAGGGTTGTTTTACTAAGAGGTTAGATTGTGGTTTTGCATAAGATAATTAGATAGGGATGCTCCTGCCTCAGGCAGGGGGTTGGAGCAGGTGACCTGTGGAAGTCCGTTCCAGCCCTACCTTTCTTTAATTCTATGATTCAATGACATCAGGCTAACTGGTCAGAGTTCTTTGGGTCATACTATTACTGATTTTAGATTTTGGAAATATAGTGGCTGGTCTCCTTTCCTTTAAAATGTTCCCAGTTTTCCAAAACTTCTTACAACTTAAAAATAATATCTCTGAGAACTTCTCAGCTGGACCCTGAGATTCCTGAGTGTAGGTCCCATGTGGGCCTTATGATTTCAAAATGTTTGATTTTAGCAGATTCTAACATCCTACTTAGCTATAGATGGCAATGTTTCTATTCTGTACATCACGCCATGTAGCATAGAGACATCCTCCTCCTTCATTCCAGACATAGAACAGGAAAAAAGTGACCTGTGTTTTCTGTATCACTCTTTACCATCTGCATCCAGCAATGGACCTATATGTGGCCTAGATCTTATCTATTTCCTGATATACCTTCTCTAAAACCCTACTGGCCATTGATATTTAATAGACTCCTTTGGCTTCCCTCACCAGTCACCTATGCATTTTGACTGTATCATCTGTTCTTTGCCATTTACATCTTCTCTCATATCTTTTCTGCCAAATGTTCAGGTAGTGACACATCGGTAATAAAACATGAAGAAAGAGCATCTATTCTCACTTACTCCTCTCCTGGAAAGGTCCCCACACATTCATCACCCTTTTTAGAAACACACTCAAGCCAACACACTGCCATCTCCTGCTAGGAAAGCACCACTCAGAGGCAAAAGTCATAACTTGGCATGGGCAGGGGCAGCAGATGGAGCTGGTCTTGGGATACTGCTTTTCATTGCACCCATGTCACAAAGCCAGCTTGTTCCAGATACCCAGGAATCCCTCTGGACAGGAGAAATTGCCAGGTGGGATAATGGCTCTGTGTGGTCTCCTTGCAGTTCCCTGCACAGAAGGGTACAATAGACTTGTGGGTAACCAATGAACTTCCATCTTGTGGGTATTCTTGGACACTACTAGGAGGGAACAGTCTCTCATACTGTTGATCTGAACCTTCCATTGGCAGCAGGAGACCTAGCCTCACCCTCTGTGGCTCTGAAAAGGCTTGGGCTGCACTAATGGAGATAGAGAAAATGGTGATGGAAATGCTCACCATCAACAGCAATAGGCATCAGAGCCTCCTGCATCTCTTCATTGGTTAGATGGACTCCCATGCTGGTCAGGACAGAGTCCAGGTTACTGACATCATCTCTGTCCTCTAAGAAGAAAAGAGAAAATATTAGAATCTTCACTGGTTGCTTCCTTTTTCATCTGAGTGTCTTTCATGACATTATTCCTTAGTGTCAGCAAAAAGGGGGAATACATTTTGATAGCGTGAAGGTGATGATAACGGTAGTACTTTGCCTTTCTGCAGTCCCATCCCTCTGGCGGTCTAAAGGTACTTTACAAGCAGATTGTAATAAAATTTGTTCTTACTTGGGGAGTTAGGAAAGCATTACAATCCTTTTAGTAGGGGACACTGAGTTAGAGACAGATTAAGTTTATGTTTGAGGTCAGATGCCATCCAGTTATTTGTTTCAGTTTGCTGCCGAGGGAGGAATAGAACCCAAGTTTCCAGGATTCCATATGTATTCTTTCAGTGAAAACACCCTACTTACTAAACTGCACACTGCCTGATGAGCCATCTGGAACCCATAACATTCATAAATTAGTGGTGTAACTAAAGGCAAGATGACTTATTGAAGGGATTAATGTATCCCTAAGTGTTGGTTATTTATGTTTGAAACAATCAGTAACATATCCAAGACAGAAGCTCCTTATCTCTGATAACTTCCAGTATCACATAGAAGTCATTCTGTATTTTTGCAAGCTCAGATGGAGTGTACCATACGTTATTCAGCTCGTGTTTCTAATAAGCAAAACATGATCAAAGACGAAAGTGGACAGAATGCAGTCTACTAAGAATCCTGTCTATCAAACTGTTCATGGAAATAGAGGGAATCTTTTGTTTCACTATGAAACAGCTACTACAGTCATGATTAGCAGTTACTTCTTTGCAAGACTTCACGTGAGGAAAGTAAGGGATGTGCATGGTTGTAGGATCACGGCCCCATGTTATAATGTTGGACACTCAGGGATTGGGAAAGGCTAGAAAGAAGGTTAGTGGTATAACTTTTTTTCTGGCCATGCAAAGTAAGTACTACACAGACTATGATTATATGATAACTTAATGACCCTTGCCTTATTCAGTGCACTATCTACCAACAATCTTCATTTTATGTTCTCACTTACCTTTACTTGTGGGTGATTTCTGGAGAGCCCTCAGTCCCTCCATAAATTCACCTAAATTCACCTTCCCATCCTCTGCAAGACAGAGCAGTCAGGGTTATGGGAAATAGCAAACAGGAAGTAAAGAACAGACAGGCAGAGGGGAACTGGGCTCAGGAATACAGTTCTTGAGAGTTGCCACCAAAAAGATACACTGTCACATAAATTGCTTACAACTTTGTTTGTTCTTAAGGCCCAAACGATGGAATCCCTGGCAGGTCCATAGCACTGGCATCAGAAAAGTGAAGGCACAAAATTCAAAGGGCCAGATCCTGCTCTTATTGACATGGATGGGAAACCAGACTGATTCCACTGGACCACATGTCTTTTTATTGCGTAACTCCTCTACACTTATAGTATCATGAGTTCAAACAGCAAAGAACCTCATTTTAAGACCCCTTTTACACTGACATGGCTGAGTAAAGTAAATTTATTAGAAATGAGAATCAGCAATTCAATCCATTTGTGCCATTACTACAGCTTCACACACTGCACAATCTGGGCCAAGGATGTTATTTCAATGGATCACTTGTCACACCACGTATTGTGCACACATCACACCCTTGTCATCTGACAAAAATCAAAGTTTGGCACAGAGCAGGAGTCTGGTGCTGATTTGCACTCCCTCACTCGGTACCTTATGAATAGAGAGGACGGAGAACACTAACCATCAACTGTTATATGTTTCAGGGCCTCCTGCAGCTCCTCGTTGGTTAGGTAGACCCTCATGCTGCTCAGGATGGAGTCCAGGTGCTGGATATCAACCTTATCCCCTAGAACAGGTAGGGAAAGTATAGGCATTAATCAGTGGGGAACTTTGCCTGAGTAAGGGGAGAGTGTAAATGAAGCAGGGACCCTGGGGTGTGATTTGTGCACAGAATTTGCAATGCCCCTCTCTGAACCACCCCAATCCATAATTTCCACCTTTCTCTAAAGTTGTGAGCCCATGTTCTCACATACTGTTGGCCTGGGATGGTCTCCATGTGCTCATCATGCTCTTCATAAACATACTCAAGCTGATTTTGCTGTCCCCTGCAAGTGAAAGCACCACTCAGAGGCAAGGGCCAGGTACAGCAGGGTTAAGAAACAGCTGCAGGAACAGGGCTTCAAAACCTGTGGTTCAGTTTTCTTACTTTACACCTCTCCAGTCATGCAAAGAGGTTTCCCTATACCCTGAAATCCCCATTCAGGGAGGAAATCAACAGGTGGGACACTGGCTTTGGGTCACCTTCTCTATCATGGATTTGCCAGGAAATATCAAGCTTTGAAGGGAACTCTGTGCTGTGACTTTTCCCAGCTGCCTCCTGAAGACAGAAGTAGATAGATAAAAATGACAGCATACCTTGTATCTCCTGAGAAAGGTCAGGGGAGGGGAGAGGAGAGGAGGCGAGGGTGAGGTTTAGCAGCTATGCCATGCTCATTCACTACTAGGAAGCAGCAGACTCTTGCACTATTCCTCCCTACCCCATGGTGGCAGCAAGAGAGCTCAACCCCCAGTCTGGGCCTCTGAAAAAGCTCAGGTTTCACTAAAATGCAGGGGATTGGAAATGCTCACCGTCTACAGCAATATGCTTCAGTGCCTCCTGCATCTCCTCACTGGTAAGATGGATCCCAAGGCTAGACAGGATGGAGTCCAGGTTGCTGACATCAACTCTGTCCCCTTTACAGTGGGAAGAAAATATAAGAATTTGCAATGGTGGCATTGACTCAAACCCTTGTTATCTTTGATACTTGTTATTAAGACACTGAAGCCATCCTTTTTACTTGCAAATCAGCAGGGGCTTATTATACACTATTGAGCTTGCATATCTAATATAGCAAGAATTCTCAATATAATTCAGGAAAAGCTAGGTGTGGAAACATTCTAAGACATTAAACATTTAATTAGATGCTGTCTTTTACTCTGAAGAAGCCCCTACGAACGTGTTTAAAAATTACTTCTTAGCACCACTGCCTGTAGCTGTGTTTCACAACAGTTCATCATTGTTTCACATGTAGGATGTCACAAACATCCACAATACTATGACATCCAAAAAGTTCTGATAAATGAATGGTGTTAAGCCCCTGATTCTAGGGACACAGGTGCATGCACTTAACTTGACCTGTGTCACTTCAATGATACTAAAAGTAAGTGAAAAGAAGCATGTGCATGCCTGCAGGACCCGGGGGTAAGGTGACAAAGTCAGAGTCAGGAGCTAGGAAATGCCAGAATGAAAGTAGCCATATGACCTTAAGTCTATCTTTTTGTGTAGAATCATCATGAGAGAGACTTGAATTAGATTAAATACATGAACACATATTATTTCTTCCAGAGGACTTCTGGCTCTTATTCAGTGCACTATGACCTACTGTCCACCTCTATTTTTACATTCTCACTCACCTTCACTTAAGGGTAATTTCTGGACAGTTCTTACCCCCTTCGTAAATTCACTCAAATTCCCCTTCCCATCCGCTGCAAAGAAAAGCAGAGCTCAGAGTCAAAGGAAATGACAGAAAGACACTAAGAACAGGAAGGCATTGTGGAACTTATGTCATGACAAGAGCAAGAAGAAAATGTCACAAAGGGAACTGAGATCTATCTTCTTCTGAAATGGAAACTTACCCTTGAAAGGGGTCACAAATTTGGGATAAAAAAAGTGAAAGAAATGCCATTAAATGGAGCCTGATATTTCTCCCCTTTACGTGTGTATGAGTCTGAATTGACTTTACTTGACCAGATTATGATTTGCATTAAGGTCACTTTCCATTGCTGTTATGCAATATAGAAATATAATTTCAGCCCATTTAAAGGTCACTTTATAATAACAGAGTGGTTAAAAATTGACTTTGATTTAATAAGAATCAATTGTTTCATCCACTGGTCTCACTGATGTCACTCCAAATCTCTACCGCTGTAAGTGGAAGCAGAATCTGGGCTTGGGAGGTAATTTTTAATGGATGTATTATCTCTTGTATTTATTGGGCAGGCACTGTATCACTGTCATCTGAGAAGCACAAGCATAAGCAGGAATTTTAACTCCCTACTAAATTCTGCTTGTTTCAGTTGCCCCCACACTTTCCAAACTGAGAGAAGACTGGAAACATCAATCATCCAGCTGTATGTTTCATGGCCTCCTACAGCTCCTTGTTTGCATGGCTGTTGAGCACCCCACCACAGAGACCCCAGGTTATAGAAATGGATTCCTGGATGCAGACTGGTGTTTCCAGGGAGCTTCTGTGCTCTGGATATTTCCAGCTGCTCCTTTGAGTATACATGGAAATGGCTTCTGGGTATAAAATAGGAAAGGCAGCTAGGAGAAGAGGTTAGTGCTTTTGTGGTACTCTGGCAACTGTTAGATGGAGCAGCCTTCTTCATCACCCCTCCCTAGTACCATGTTGGCTCTGGAGCGGTCACCAGGGACAGTGTTTTGTGAAGCAGGGGTGAGGAAGGGAGGCAGACAGGTCTTCTCAACAGAATAAAACTCAAAATGTTCCATGAGGACTGACAGAGTTTTGGGGGTTTTGGAGGCAGAGCCTCAAGACAATGTGAGGCAAGGACCATGGGCTTAGGATCAGGAAAGCAATTTTAATAACAATGCGCAGAGTTTTCATTCTGTGATACAAGTGCATGGGAAGGGACAGGATGGAACAGATGAAACCAGTCACATATCTTAGTTAAGATCCTTCAGCATTCAAAGAAGACAATGGGAATCTTCTTACTGACTTCAGGGGGTGCTGAATGAGTCTCAATATAATAAAGAGAAGAAAGGGGCTCCAAGGAGCAGGGAAGGGAATTCCTGACTGTCCACTTATACAGGAGATGAGTTCCCTTATTTGTGGCTAGTATACCTGCACAAGCTCTGGAAAAAAGCATATGTATCCCAAACTAAGAAACAAGGGCAATGGAAATGCTCACTTCTATCTGTGATATGTTTCAGGGCCTCCTGCATCTCTTCACTAGTGAAGTGGATACCAATGTTGTCCAGGTTACTGACATCAGTTCTGTCCTCTATAAAAAGAAGGGAAAATATTGCATCCCATACTGGTTCCTTTGCTGTACGTATAAGTATTGTTCACAGCAACTCAGCTATGTGCTATTCTCTAACGTGCAGCCAGGGTGAGAGTAAGATTTGAACATATAAGGCCACTAATGACAATCCTTCTCCTCTGCCTTTCTTTTGCCCCTTCTGTTGAGGATGTAAAAGCATTTTAAAGACTGAATAGGTGAGGATAAGTATTATCATACTTTTATAGAAGGGGAAACTGAGGCAGAGAGAGATTTAGATGAACAGCTGATGACCACACCTTGCTAGGTTATTTGCCCAAGAGTTTACAGAAAATGTGTAGACAGAACAAGCTGCCTGAGATTTTGGTCCTGTTCTTAGCTAGAAGGTAGAAGTCAGGGTAGATAGGCACCTATAGACTAATTAAATAAAATATAGAGAGAGCATAAGCTTTTGTGAACTCAAGCTCACTTCATGGGCATCTGATGAAGTAAGCTTGAGTTCACAAAAGCTTATGCGCTCTATGTATTTTATTTAATTAGTCTGTAAGTGCATATCTACCCTGACTTCTGCCTGATGTCAGACTAAAGTGGTTATGTACCTCTCTTAGCTAGAAGACTATCCTGCCCTTCATACACTACCTGCTAAGTAATGCCAAACACTTGAATACCATGAGGCACTGTGGATGAATCCAACTAGTTTCAGGTTCATTTATTAGGTCTGAAAAACGTAGTGCTTGCCTTAGACACAGCCCACTTTTCTCTTTGGATAGGTCTAAGTTGGTATTGCCTTACCTTGCTGTTTTCAAGCAGCCAGGGAATGTACTATATGTTATGTAGCTTGTGCATCTATTACCTCCTAACATGACTAGTGAAAAGCAAATCCAGTTTATTAAGGGTCCTGCTCATGTAACCAGTTTTTCATCATAGATAACTGAATTCTTTACATCACTCTCAAAAAGGCCTTGATAAAAAGTTACCTTAGCTCAATTTCTCTTAGCTTTGGGTCCTTGGGAGTTATTGATGCATCAAAAATATTATTATTCAACACAAAAACTTGGGCTAAGAGGACATTATGATGGCTCCAGAGGCACGAACATTAGAATATGTGCTTCAGTTTACTTGGACAAGTACGGTAAATGTTTTTGGTGAACTGTTTTAAAAAAAATATAACATGCAGTTCATAGGGAGCAAAAATAATCATGAATTTGAGTCAGATTTGATGAACAGTTTTGGGAAGAACTGGGGGGAAATTTTTACAATTCCAAAATATTTCATTTTAACATTCTTGAAATAAATCTTTCTGACATCATTTCCAAGTGGTATTTTTAATGTAAATGTTTAATCTAAAATTTAAAAAAAGAGAGAAAAAAAATGGTTGGTAGAAGGGTTATTTAATCCAAAGATTCCATAACACTTGATTTCAGATTGAATGAAATGAATAAAAATAAAATATATTTTTTTGCTTTTGCCATTTTCATGACTTGACACAGTGATTTCTATTTCATTTTCAATCACCTTCATCTTCCCCCCATGATTTTTCAGTTTGGACACTGAACTAGACAATGTATTCTATATCCAGGCACATATATGCCTCATCCCACTAACTGTGAGTTGGCAACTTGAGGGGGAAGCGGAGCATCTGTGTGTTTGCAAAATCAGGGACTAAGATCACCAACTCAGGCACTAAATCATGAGATCCCTGGATAAAAGTCTCTCCTATTACTCCAATTAAACCTCTTGTCTGGATACACTATTAGATGATCTTTAGTTACATGATCATTGCATACTTTTCTCCCCAGAACTCTGCCTTTGTTTACTGCACTTCCATCTAACAGCCATCTGTATTATTAGGATCTCACTCACCTTCAGCAGAGGGTAATTTCTGGACAGTCTCCACTACCTCCATAAATTCACGCAAATTCACATTCCCATCTGCTGCAAGGCAAAGAACATCTCAGGGTTAAAGGAAGTGACAAGCAGATAGTAAAAGGCAAACAGGCAAAGGGGATTTGGCGTCAGTGCTAAACTGTGCAGCAGTTAATGCCTAGCAGAAACCCTTGCTTAGAAATGTCCTCTTTCTTAACAAAAGCCTGATGACATCCTTGAAAGGAAACATGAAGTTTGGAAGGGAAAAGAAGAACATGAAGCTCAAGGGGCAAGGTCCTGCTCCCATTTACACTGGTGGGAATGCAAAGTGACCCCCTGGACTGGATTTTCATTGACACTTTGGTCCATTTACATTCTTTGGCTGTGGGTAAGACTATAACTCCTCCCACTTCAAGGCCCCTTTATTCTGACCTGATGGAGTAAAATGAAGTTGGTGTAAATGATAACTAACCTGTTAACCTGTTTTGTTAGGTCTGGGTTATTCCAGATTTGAACTTGGTTAAGAGGAAGCCCCATCTGGTTTTAGAATGTGATTTTAAATGGAGTGATTGTCTCTTGTATCTACTGTGCACATATCACAACATTGCCATCCAACTAGCACAAAGCACAAGCGCTCAGACGGACTCTCAGTGCTCCTCACCAATTTCAGGCCCTCTTCCCCACCTTACAAACAAAGTGAAGACTGGAAACACCCACCATCAACTGTCATGTGATTTAGGGCCTCCTGCAGCTCCTCCTTTGTTAGGTGGACCCCCATGTTGGTCAGGATGGAGTCCAGGTGCTGAATGTCAACCTTATCCCCTAGGACAGGTGGGGAAGAAGTAGATATTAGTTAGTGGGGAGCTTTGCCCAAGTAAAGCAGAGTGGAGATAAAAGAAAGACTTGGAGGTGTCATTAAATGTCTTATCCCAGGACTAGGGACCTGTAGTACACAGGATTCTTGAGAATCATCCTGGAAAATGATCTCAAGACTAAATCCTGCAAGGTGCTGGATGTCCCTGGTTCCCACAGAAGTGCCCCTATGACCAGGGCCACTGTAGGGAGGCTGCCTCTTACTGTCAGATTTGCAAGTGTGCCCAAGAGAGCTGGACTCTGAACTCCCATTGGCTTTCAGGCCTCACCCTGACTTGTTCAAGTGCCTTTGAAAAATCTGAGTTAATAGGCATCCTTGGTCCTCTTCACCCGTCAAAATGTTGAGGATTTGTAAAGGAGGGATCCAAAGTCACCAGGATGCATGGAATCTCATCCTGGTGAATGGGGTTGCCTGTTCCCAGAAAGATGCAGTGATCATTCTTTTCACATGTAAATTTTGTCCACCCATTCTTAGCACCATTGGGTATAAAAGCTCTCACTTACTCTCATACTGGGAAGGCCACTGGGTACTCATCACTCTCTCCATAATGTCTTTCAGATCCACCTTTCCATCTGCTGAAAGATGAAATGCAGATCAGAGACAAAGAGGAAAATCAGAGAAAGGGGTCAAGACTCCCTCACACTTCGGCCATGCAAATGACTCCTTAATGCGTCTAGTTGCAAATGTAGTTGACATGCACCTTATGACCACTTTGTATTGCCTTGACTGTTCCATGGCTCAACCAGAGGCTCTAGAGCAGTGGTTTTCAATCTGTGGTCCATGGACCCTGGTGGTCTGCAGACTATATCTAAAGGGTCTGCAAAAGATGACTATGATTAATCAAAAGTATGTGAATACCCACACTTACAATTCAAAGGGGCCCACACCTCCATTAGAAATTTTTTAGACTCAAATGAAAAAAGAGTTTGAAAACTGCTGTTCTAGAGCCTTGGTTCATACTTTTGTGAATTATATGGGAATCTTTCTATTTACATCAATGGCTTTGGATTAGGCTGCAATAAAAAGAAGCAAAAAGATTAGAGTCTGATTTTGATCTTGCCCGAGGTAAATCTGGAATAACCCCATTGCAGTCAAGGCAGGAAGACGTTGCAGACTGGGTGTGAAGGAGCTATACATCCATGTTGCATTTCACTGCTGAAGGGTGCAAACTGTTACAAAAGACAGAAATACAACATTCTTTCAAATATAAGACACTCTTATGTTTAAGACATTTACTTTTTTTAACCCCCAATATATGAAAAAAGAGCCTTTCATTAAAGACACATTTACAAGGGTACAGCCTTGTATGCTGCATACAAGAGGTTTTTACTTATATTTAAGACACAGCCCAATTTTAGAAGAAATAATTTGTTTAAACATGTGCCTCTTATATTTGAAGAAATAAGGGAAGAATAAAGGGGCAGGTACATTAAAGCACATTATGGTAAAGAAATAGTAGACTTCAGGGAAATAAGATGTGACGGCATAGGTGAAAATTACATCAGGAAGGTATAAGGAGGTGCTCAGCCTTTAAGGGCTGAAACCCAATAGGCAGGTGGTTAGTATTTAATAGACTGCCTAGCTGGAAGGCGGGAATCCAGCGGCGACTGATGATGTCTAGAAAATGAGGGTGGATCCACAAAGAGGGTCAAAAGCCCCAGAAGCAGAGCACAGAGCCTGGGTTGCTCCTCTCAAGGTGTGACAAAAGACTGCAGGTTGTTGGTTTGTTTGCAAGCTTGGTTATTTTGTTGTTTGTTGTGGGGGCATGGCTGTCCCATGTAAAATAAACTGGCTGGACATCTTGAACACAGAGCTGATTGGTCTTGAGAAGGGCTTGGGTGGGTGATGATTTGTGTACAAAAGGCTTAATACAAAGTCTCTTAGAGACTGCATTGGCAGTTCAGACTTAGAAAGGGATTACGAGCTCTGTAAGGTCATGGGAGACTTCAATAATAGTCCAACTTTCCTAATGATAGGATATTTCAATTTTTGTGACATAGACTGAATAATAAATATTACTCATTACAGTAGGGTGAAGACGGCTCTGGATAAGCTAGCTGATAGATTTCTCTAAGAAACTGTTGCTGTCCAAGAGGCAAAACTACTTTAGAACTAGTATTGGCAAATAGCAAGGACACTGCAGAACCAGCTGTAGGAAATAATCTGGGGTAAAGTGATCATGAAGTGATTTCAGCTTAGTTTAGGGACAAGACCAGTTCTTTTACAAGGTACGTGGACTTCAAAAGGGCTAAATTTGACAAAATAAGGCAATCAATTAACGAGAGCACTGGATTTGAAAGCTAACAGACTTAGACGTGGAAGCAGCCCAGAACTGTTTTAAGGCAGAAGTGCAAATTAGGGGCTACTACTGGTGGCTTAAATCTCAAGCAAAAGGAAAGAAGGCTACAGACCTTCATGGGTGAACAGGAACCTCCCCTTACATGAGCGCTTAAAAAGTGTAACAGAGGCTGTTACATAAGGAATCCATCCCTTGCAGAAACCGCAGCAACTTGAACAAGAGGGTTCCTAACTAGAGCCTGGCAAGGGCAGTTATCTGACCAAAAAAAGTAGTCAATTAATTAGCTGTGGGAGGGACTTAAAGGAGCAGGAGCCTCCTGGTTTTAAGCAGCTGCATGGGGCTAAGCTGGCTGTGTGGGGCCACAGCTGCAGGAGGGCAGGCTGGCCCTTGATTGACAAGGAAAACCCTGTGCAGACCTGAGGAAGACACCTAACCACAGGAGGGCATGGCTTCTGGACATACAAACCCAGGGCCTGAGCCAGAGCAGGCGATCAGTCTGGCCCTGCATGTTGAAGGCTGAGGAGCTCCTGAGAGATGCCTGCAGCAGATGGACTAGTAAGCACCTGAGTTGCCCCCAGAGGGAACAGAAGGGGTCTAAGGGCCTTGTAGTACGGTAGTGATCCAGACCTGGGTAACTTCTGTTCATGTTGTGAATTAGGTGTTAGGCTGGAGGACCAGATTGTGCCTATGGGGGGAAGTTTGGAGGCCACTGAGGGGTGCCTGCTTGGGCACTTGGCATTAAGCAGCCTGGGTCAAGGACCAGAGCACTAAGGGCTGAAGAGACAAGCAACCTGGCTCAGGGTCAAGGAGCCGGAGGCTGAGGACTGGAGAAGCAAGCAGCTCAGCCCAAGGTAAGAGACCAGAGAACTGAGGGTGGAGTCAGTGAGGGCAGCCCAGCCTGGGGTCAGGCACCCTGAGGGCTAGGGGCCGGCCCAGAGAAAGACACAGGAGCCCAGAGATGCAGAGAACAGACAAGGCTGAGGCTAACAGCTGGGCCAGGATCAGTAGGCCTGGGGTGGAAGCCGGCAGCCAGAGGAAAGGTTAGGGAGGCTAAAGCCAGAAGGGCTGAGGCCTCTAGAAGGGACAGAAAGGTGTACAGGGTAACATCTGTGAGGCACGAGTGGGGCTGTAGGGGCAGGAGGAGGTCACATTTAACCCTTAAGGTGAATAGGACATAAGGAGCTGGTACAGAGATGGAAAGAGAGAGAGCATCTTAGGCTTACCAGCCTTTGAGGGTAGCCTCCCTTCAAGTTTTACAAGATGTGACAAGTGAGGAACCAGGATGGGACCCTGGGAGGTGATGGCAAGAGCCAGGCAGGGTCTAAGTGAGCACTAGGGGGCATTATGGCATTGGAAAATGGGACTGATCAGCATGGAGGAATATATCTGTGGGGAGAAGTGGACACACCGGAGGGCAGGGAACAACTACAAGCAGACCTGGACAGGTTGGACATATGGGCAGAAAACAACAGAATGCAATTCAATAAGGAGAAATGCAAAGTGCTGCACCTAGGGAGGAAAAATGTCCAGCACACCTACAGCCTAGGGAATGACCTGCTTGGTGGAACGGAAGCGGAAAGGGATCTTGGAGTCCTAGTGGACTCAAAGATGAACGTGAGTCGTCAGTGTGACAAAGTCATCAGAAAAGCTAATGGCACTTTATCGTGCATCAGCAGATGCATGACGAACAGAACCAAGGAGGTGATACTTCCCCTCTATCAGACGCTGGTCAGACCGCAGTTGGAATACTGTGTGCAATTTTGGGCGCCGCACTTCAAGAGGGATGTGGATAACCTGGAGAGGGTCCACAGAAGGGCCACTCATATGGTTAAGGGCTTGCAG